ATTCCAGACTACTAGGTCATACCACTGATCTAAAGGCCAATTGCTATTTGAGTTACTCATTGGGGAGGTCGACATAAATCAGCAGAGAGCAATGAGAACAAGCTTTTGACCTAGACTTAGTAATATCCTACAATTTACCCTTAGCAATTTGAAATCAAACTTCACTTCAACCTTAGCTTTGCTTGAACTTGACATGTTTCACCTGGCTCTACTTCTTTGTGCATCTTATATTCAGGATAATTACCTACTTCTCAATGTAACTCCAGCAAATGACTTCTTTCTGTTTGTCAGAATCACCATCTATTTAGAAAATCTTCCAGTGTTTATATAAGAATGCACAAATCTAAACCTGATGTCTATTGCCATAAAAGTACTGTTAAAATAAAGAAATAAAGAGAAAATTTCTCCTTATGAACAACCAACTCAACTATACCTTACTTTGCTGTAGATTCAACTAGCTGTAAGTGCAACATCAACATGGACAGCACAGTTGTTTAGGTTTGGATAACTGAGACACTCTCTACCTTCTCTTTCTTTCCTCTCTTCCCCAAACATCTGACCTGTGGTTGGTGAATCTTGGCTAACAAATGCAAATGGTTGGATGCTGATCCTCTGTACTGCCTGTAAGCCTACTAGAAACCAGAAGGCTGACCAGCAGTTCAAGTGTCAACTTGATAATCCGTAAAACTAACAGCAAAACCTGTTCATCACCCTCTTTGTTCTATATTTACACAAGGCACATTTTTGAACACAGCCTGCTGGTGGGAACGCCTTTTCCAACTAGCTAGCAAGGTACATAGTTCACAAAAAAAAATATTATCTGGGCAATAGAAAACCTTAAAATTCTAAATGCCAAAGTTTTCAACAGAAAGTCTTATACTATCTTAGAGATTTTGACATATTTTTTTTAATTATATCCTGAGAATACCCTACCTACTCTTTTCAGTGCAACGTATAAAGTAATAAAATTATTTTTCTTCTCTAGTTGGAGAATGTCCTTTCTCCTAATAATTAATTGAAACTCATTTCATTATGAGAAATATATGCAATAGAATGGACAGTTGTAAGACAGAGTGATCAACATAAGAATAATATCACTTAGGAACACAAACAGAATAAGAACGAACCCTTTAAACTTTCTTATAATGTGCAACTCTTTTAGAAATTAGGAAACTAGAGACTGAATCCTCTTTTCAGGTAATTATTTCATCGTTGCTTCTGCTTATCACCTTGTACCTTTTTCTTTCTCTCAAACAGCAGAGTCGCTGTGCTTGAATGAATCGGGACAGCAAAACAGCTGTGAGTGCATTAATGCAAAGGTATTTATGGAAATGAAATTCTCAGTAAAAACGTGCATTTATTTTCCAAACACGGCTCATTAATCGGTGTCATTCTTCTAATACAGTGATTTATGATATGTAGCATAATTTAAATTGCTGTAGTCTCAACAGGCAGTCTATTAGGACAGTTTGGAATGAGGGTAAACATGATTCTTGTCAAGAGAAAGGATTTTTTATTTTCTGTTTTAAAAAGCCTGATCCAAGTGGAAAGACTCCAACTGACCAATGTGTGGTCTGTCTTATATACCCTGCCTTTATGTAAAACTTATATTCTGGTGTGGTTTGTTTGTTTGGTTGGTTGGGGTTTTTTTGTTGTTTGTTTTGTTTTGTTTTGTTTTCTGGTTTTCATTTTTTTGTCCTTGCCTTACAAACTTTCTCCTTCTCATTGTTACATTCTTTTTCTGCCCTGTTTCCTTTCCTCTGACAAACAAAGACAATATTTTTCTTCTTGTGGTTTCCTGCATACTCTTACAATGTACCAAACATGTAGCTCTAAAACAACTGAGCAGATTAAAAAGTGACAAGCTATTGCCATGAACATTCATCTACCCACACCGTGGGCTTTTCTCTTTGACACCTTTCCCCAAAAAAGACATTTTGAATACTTGCTTCAATTTTCATTATATTTCAGATCAGAAGGGATTGTCATATCATTTGCTGCAACAGTCACCCTGGCAAATTTAAATCAAAGTAGGTGTTATCGTCTCTAAAATAACTGGTACCGAGCTGTCCCAAGCTTCTTCAGTGGCACAGTGTGGATCGCGTACTCTGTACCTGAATTGTCCTCAGGTGATTACAGCAGGAAAATCAGGCCTTTTGCTTTCTGCTAAGTTTATCTGAAAGGCTGCTTAGTGCAAAACTACACACGATGACCAGATTTTAAGTGTGTGATCAGACATATCAGGCAAAACTATAAGAAAAACATTCTCTGATTGGTAGAAGACAATAGCCACTCTTATTTAACATTTTTCTTCAAGTTCACAGGTGTCTGTGAACCAGAAGGAAGAAGTCTTCCTGATGCTATAGGAGATCAACAGAAACCTCCAAATAACAAGATCATGCAGAAGGCTAGTGATCAGCCTAAACATACAATACTGTATGAGCATTTGCACCTCCATGTGTATATTTTAATTCTGCAAGAGAAACTTAGACAGAAGAGTATACAAGCAGGTACTGAACACACCAATTACGGAATACTGGACCTGTGTGCCCAAGTAAGCAAAATTAAGGAATTTTACAGTCCATTTACAAACAAAAATTTTGTTCAGAGTGAAACATTAGCAATATCTAAGTGTCACTGTTCACCCATTGGCTCCAATGTTATCAATATATCTCATCAAACTGCCACTTCCTTAAGTTATTGTATAACTTAAGGAAACTGTACCCCACATTGCTACAAACAGCTGTTGTCTCAGTTGACAGTAATTACTGCTTGCAAGAATATAATCACACAGCTATTTTCTAGTATTGTATTTTCAGTAATCCCAGTTACAGATTAAAATTGTGGTGGTTTTTTTTGCTTCCATTCCTTACATTGTACTTTCTAGTTTGCTAAAATGTTAATAATTCATCCTGTTAGCTTTTCCATGATAAACTGTACATGGTCATGAGTATGTCTACTCCTCCCTAGCAGCTTTTGAACTTGTTCAGCAGCTTCAGCCTCATTAAACAAAAGGGGAGCATCTAAAAAAAATTAAGTACTTACACATCATGTGAAAGTAAAACTTTGGTAGGGTGCCATAACCAAGCAAAAAGTTCAGATACTCAACTGTACTAGATACCAATGAAGTCACATGAGAGATACCAGGAAGTAGACTTCACTGTTTTTGGTGTTCCCAAAAGTAGTTGCTTTTACATATACTGGCTAAAGTACCTACACTGACATCCTGTTACTTGACTAAGCACTTAAATGCTAATCTCATTTAAAAATACTGATTTAGGCTTTGCAGTGAATTACTGTCCCTGGATAGTTTCATTGCATTACTCTGCCCACAGTGCCGACTTTTGTTCGGGTAAAAAGGAACCACTCTCTGCACATCCACTTGCAAAGGCTCCAATTTGCAATATTCTTTTGACCTGAAACATTGTATTTATGGTCAGGACTCAAAGCTGGGTCTGCTTTTCTGTTTCAGGCCTTTACTATTACGCCAAACTGCAACTTACCCAGTCTTAGTGAGAATCACTGCGTACCAGGAGGCACCCTGGTACTCCTGCAAAAGAGGCTTATTTTGTCACAGGCTATTCTAAGTATTTTTAAAGCCTCAAAAAGCCTTGTTGGAGAATTCAAAGTCTGATGTGCAGTACTTCAAACCCTTTCACTACAGTGGTTGCAAAGGAGCTCCCTGTCAGGCTTGACAAGCTGTTCCACAGATCAGTCACAGGATGGGTCAGATTGGAAGGGACCACAGTGGGTCATCTGATCCAACCTCCTTGCTCAAGCGGTGTCATCCCAGAGCGCAAGGCACAGGACTGAAGCCAAACGATTCTGGAATATCTTCAGTGAGGGAGACTCCACAACCTCTCTGGTGAATCTGTTCCAGTGCTCAGTCACCCACACAGCAAAGAAGTTCTGCTTTGCATTCAGGTGGAACTTCCCGTGCATCAGTTTCTGCCCGTGTCCTCTTGTCCTATAGCCTAGCACGTCTGACAAGAGCCTGGCTCCATTCTCTCGGCACTCCCTCACGCTCCCTTTAGATATTTATGCACATTAATGATGTTTCCCGCAATTTGGGCGTTTAACTGGATGCGGAGGGCCGTTTAAGACACGCGACGAGATGCTTTGAGCGAAGTCCCCGCAGGAAGGACCACCCCAGCCGGCTCATCCAACTCCACCTTCCCAACCTTTTCCACCCTCTCCGGCGGGGGCGGCCCCGCCCCCTCGCGGCGCGCGCGCCCGAACCCTCGCGAGAGGCCGCGGCCGCCGCTCGCGCCCGCATTTGCCACGTTCAAAGGCGCCGGCGGTGGCGCGAGAGCGCGCAGGGCGCGCGCAGCCGGCGCGCCACTGCCCCGCCCCTGCCCCGCCCCCTCGCGGTGCCACCGCCAATCGGAGGCGAGCATCACCCCGCCTTGCTGGTGCGATTGGCTGCAGGCGGGTGGGGGGGCGGGGCCCTCGCTGCTCGGGGCCGCGCCGCGATCTGGTGGTGTGGCCGCGGCTCCCGACGCGCTCGCGCTGCCGCCCCGCCCCCTGCGCGGCCCGACGGGACGTGCGATGGCTTCGCGCAAGAGCTCCAGGGGCGCCGGCGGCAGCCCCAGCCCCGGCTCCAAGAGAGGTGAGCGGCGCCGCTCCGCGGGAGCGAGGCCGTAGCTCTGCGTGGAAGGGGCGGGGGCTCCAGCGGCGGCCGGAGCCGAGGAAGGGGCAGCCGCGGGCAAAGAGCTGGGGGTGCTGCGCCTTCTCCCTCCTCCCCCGCCCTCCCCTCCTCCGGCGCTGCGGCAGCTGGGGAGGGGGACACGGGCCAATGGCCGAGGTCTGCCCGTCGCCTTCCCGCCGCTCCCCATCCAGGGCGTTCACGTGGAGGGAAAACTCTCCGGGCGTGGGCGGCGGGGACGCCCCTCGGAGGCTCCCCAGAGGGGCTGGGTTGAGCGCCGGGCAGGCCTCGGCATCCGTGGGTATCCGTCCCGCAGACCTCTTTCTCTGGGAGATGGGAGTAGAACCGTGATGCTCTCATCTGAAGTCGATGTTATCCTTATGTCCAAACGTGGATGTGGAATATCTCCTCCGGTTGACCTAATTAACAACGCGGGTCATTAGATCTAAGTTATTTTATTTGTTGGAGACGGAGTATCTGAGCTGGTGGTTTCTGTAAATACAGAGGCAGGGGGGAATAATCTCGGGAAAACGCGAGCAGAAGATTTTATGAGGCAGCGATCTCCACACACCCCACCCTGCCAGTAAAGAACCCCTTAACAAATCTGTTTGTAAACTGCTTCGTGTGCACATTGTAAGTAGGGAAAGTAGCATTTCTAAGCATAGCAGAACATACATGAAAGAGGAGGTGGTATATGTATTTCTCGAGTCACTATGCAACCATACACGCCTCTCTGGACAGAGAAAGTGCTCTTATCAGACATTGATTTTTATGTAGCTTCTTTAGATTTCGAGCTTGTGCACAGAGCTCCAGTGGTGAAATGCAGTGATGATTCAGAAATTATATCGTCTCTCTTTGAATATAGCAGTAATAGGGAGAACAGTGTTAATTGAAGGAGGAACCATATAGGATTAGTTTACCTATCACATGATGAATTAAGAGGGAAAGATTTTAAATATACTTAATCTTCTAGGAGTTTAGAGATGATGTTGCAATGTTCATAGAAGAGGTTTTGTTTTTATTTTATTTCTAAGTCGTTTTTCAGGGGCTGACCTGTGTTGTAGAGTCTATATTACACTTTTTGCTTGGACTTGAGGTGTTCTGATTATCACCCCATATTAAACATGCTGAATATAGATTTTCAATTATAATGCATTAAAAACATGCATCCCTGGTATAATTTTGAATATTGAACATGGTACTGTTAATATTACATATCAGTCCAAAGGTTTGTCAACATCTGAAAAATAAATTTATCAGTAAACTGAATCTCTGAATAAAAAAGTATTCTGTAGATTTTTGTTTGCAGTCTGAGTAACATGTTATCTCTTTGTACTAAAACATATCTCTGATGGGATGAAGCAGTCTTGGTAACATGTTAGGTACTCTCCTAAGATGTAACCTCTTAAATTTGGACAAGTGTTTTGTTAGTTTCAGACACTCCTAGTTAGAATCCCTTGGACAACCACAGCAATTACAGCATGAAGCTGATGCTGTAGTCACGGATGCAGCTGCAGAAAGAGGTAAGGGATGATTACTCCTGTGTGAATAGAGGAACAGCTGGAGGAGCAGAGTCTTCGCAGCAGACAAGGGATGTGAAAATGAGATGAGGAAATAATTTTGAGATGGCGAGACTGTGAAGTCTGAAAACCTCAAGTCTGAGGCAGTTCTTACTTGATAGAAGTATCACTTTCACAGCAGTTCTTGGGGAGAGGATGTGGCTTCTTGCCAAGGCCTTGCTCACAGCTCTGAAACTATTGAGGCTAACAGCGTATCTCAAAATCTGTGCTCTCAAGACAATGCCTGCATCTGAATGTAGTAATCTGCTTTTAGGTTTCTGCATCACAAAATATTTACAGTAGTCTTACAAATAGATTAAGTCCAAAATAGTTCTAGCTGTAATTTATATAGATGTTTTCAGATATACTGAACTACCAGAATTGGAATCAAATATTTTTTAGAAATAGAACTTTGCCTTTTACTCTCAGAAGTCATATACTAGAAGCTGTCAAATCAGTCCTAATTAAAAAATATCTTTGTATTTAGGCTTTGTACTGCCACTCATGGGTGCTTCTTCGGAAATGACATTTACAGAATTGTATGACTCTGCCAGTGATTTTATTTATACTGAAGTGAAAATCAGGGACAAATTTGACAGTTTGGGCATACTTAGAGAGGAAAACGTGTTTGTTATTATCTTTACTGGAAAATTTGACTTCTTGTCATTAGTCAACAGAATCCACTGTCAAGATGTGGCCTCTCTAAATGAAGAATATCAGTTTTAAACAGCTAGATGTTAGGTACTTGCTGCAATGTTACCTGAAGCTTAGTTAGATGAGGGACAGGTTTTGGTACAGGAACATATGCATGTTACCGGGTCATGAATTATCTCCCTCAGATTTCATGAGATGTGGAATGTGGAAATATCATGGGCTTTAGCTGGTGCCTGTGGAGAAGCCTTCCAGCAAGAGTGAGGATCAGCAGCCTAGCTACTTTTGAAATACAGATGGCTGAAAACATATGCGTTACTTTGTAAGCTATGCTTGCTTGTAGAAGTAAGAGTGCTATTAAGACATTTATCATTATGTTGCTGTGTGTGTCTTTTGTCTTATAATACGTAAGTAAGGACTTAGTTAAACATAATTCTTACTGATCATATAGTTGTGCAATAATTGTTGTCTGTTTTCTTTGCGTTTCTAAAGCCAAGTGGGAGAGGAGTTCTCCGTTAAGCTAGGGAATATGCAAACCCCGCATTTCCATCTAAGGCATCATCTGTATCTACAGACAACTATATTTTATATTAAAATAAACATAATCCTAACTCTGCTAGTTCTGAGGCTGTGTTGACTTCAGTCTCTATGATGATAAAGAACTTTACTGTTGCTTTGATAAATTTTCTTTAATCTCCACAGTAATTGATTGAGTAAATGATTGAGAATCTCCTGACATCCCCTGCTTTTCTCTGCAAGATCCCAAAAGATGTTAGTTTTCACTTTTTGCTGTTTTAACCATGTGGTTTCCTTATATGCTCAGATCTATTGCCAAGCTTTTAACTCCTTTTACTCATCTTTTGGACCCTCTAAGATCCATTAATGTAATTCTCTGAATAATTTTTGGCTTTTCAGCTTTCTTCAGATTTCTTTGGGGTGCTTTTGGTATGCATTCAGGTTGATCTGATGTCCTTATCCAAATGCAATTTTATGCTAACATTACTACTTTTTTATTTAACAGTATCACTTCTAGAAAGAAGTTATGCCTGTTAATATGCAAGAACTTTCACTTTTTATCTCATCTTTGCTTAAAGACAACTTTGTAATGTACTTTCCCTGGGTGAGGCTCTCCATTAGCTTTTTATTTACCATAAGAGTAGAGAAAGTTCATCATCTAAACAGGTCCCTTTTTTGCTGCTGAAGTTTCTATGTTGGCTTTTGGGAACATTGAACTTCACATCAGTGCTTCCAATGCTTGAGGTGGGATTGCCTGTGCATTATCTGATCTCTCGGAGCTGCCCAGCTGTGCTGTAGTATAACATCTAAGTACACTATGGATTCTGCTTAAATATGATGCTTCTATCTATCCAAAAATTCTATCTAAGAATTCTCTCTCTCTAATTTTTAACCTAAACTACTGTCCAGTGTCTTTGCTTATGCTCTCCACTTCACAATTGTGTTGTGTATAATCTGATTTCTTGTGTTACAATCCATCCATTGTTTCCTTCCTCATGTTAATTGTAATCATTAAGAAGAAGGGTACTAAGGTGTGGGAGGTCATAAGTGAGGTGTAAATTTGGGATGTTCTGAGGGGGCTTAACAAATATTTTGACTTGTCAAAGTGTTTGCTGACCAAAGGTGACTGAAGTCCAAGGGTTTGCTGAACTAAAATGAATTCTTATGAATTCAGTTAGCGTCCTGCTCAGTGCTTTGATTCGGGTATTTTAACTCAAGGTTAAAATGTTTTCTTGTAACCTTTTTTGGTCTTCAGGAGTATACAGTGGATTGTTATTTATTCTTAGAGTTGCTATAGGTCTATAGCAGAGAAATGAGAAATACTTTGTATCTCATTAATGGAAACTTTGTATACTCTTTTAGAAAAGCTCCAGTGATTTCTTCAGCAAACTTATCCTATTTCCTAGTTTAGTTGCTTAGAACTACTTGAAGATCTTAAATTTTTGGCATTAGTGCCAGATTCTGTTTTTTAAAGAATTTGAGGGAGACTGGTGAAAATATGCCTCTGTATTTGGAACAAAATGGATTTTACCAGGAAAGTTGATTGTGACTTGTGAGACTAATCCTAGGCATCTGAATTTTAATGGCATATGTGTATCTTTTATCTTAAAGCTAATGGTAGCTTTCAAAGTATGAGTTGTTCATGTCAGGGACAAAGTACCTAAATAACAACTATGTGTGCATACCTACTTTCTAAGTCTTCGGGAAACAGTAAACCACAATAATGTAAATAGTAAAACTGTGAAAACGTGGACAACCATCTCTTTCTGATTCATGTGTCTCCCTTGTGTCTTGTTCAGTGTGGCCTTTCTGGAAAGCATTCTAATACACTGTAAAATATTCTGCCAAAATAAAAATTGGTAGCAGCAGTAAGGATCCAAACATCTGTAATTTAAGTGGTATGTTGCAGGAGAGCCACCAGTGAAATGCTAGTTTCCATCCTCTCTGCTCCTTTCTTTTTTCTTTTTTTTACCCCTTTTTTATAATGTCCTGTACAAAACTTGAGGAGGTATCTCTTCAAACGAGTCTCTTATCTCTGATTAAATGAGTGTGATATGAATAACAGTCTTAAAATGGTTAACACTGGTATTCCTCTGTATACATGACCAGATTTGCATTGGAATAGTGAATCCTTGATATAACTAGTGATTCATTTATCTAGAACTTGAGTCAGGTGAGCTCTAGAAAGACAACTCTGTCATCTCTTACGTTTATCCGAATGAAACTTTCTCTACACTG